TTTTAAAAAAAAGAATAAAAAAAATAAAACAAAAAAAAGTTCATGTACATTCCAAGATATTCCAAAAGAAGGATAAAAATTCTTAATGCTTTACACGGTTTTGGTTTTATTAAAAAAAAATGTCTGTTGAAACTGTTAACTGTGAAAAAAGTTTTAATTATTAAGTCAATAGTTATGAGAAAAGAAACATTTAAACAAAGTCTTTTAAATGTATCAACAAAGTGGTTAATAAATTGATTAGGAAAAAAGTTCGCTTCATATTCTTTCAATGTACTAGTTAATGGTATCACACTTCTACTTAATTTTACCATAATTTTAAATATTCTAGCTTGTTCAAGACTAGAGAGTATTTCTTTTTCATGATTTGCAGGGTAATACTTTTCTACAAGTGAACTTTGCCCATTTGAAATTGTGCGGTACAGACAGCAGGGTGAAGTTGTGTTGCTAACTTAAAGGCTGTACCTCTGCTCATCTCTCTCCACTAGCAGCTCCAAGGGAGAAAGACGGGCAATATCCTCACCCATGATTTGTAGCTCAGAAAACCAATGGAGTGTCAGCCATGAGTCATGGCAACAAATGATGCAAAGGATATTCTATATAGGTTTTTTGGTTATTAATGGGGGAAAAATATAGTGTTAAACAAATGGAATTACAGTAATGATTTCAGTAAAAATTTGAAATCTTTTTTTACTTCTTATGCTACTAGTAAGGACATAATGTGTCAGCTTAATTGATTTCCTGATCCTTAATAGTAAGAATATTAATAATCTGTATAATTAGACAATGTAATTTTATTCATTTGTACGCTGATTTAGTAACTAGACACCAGCTACTAGGTTACAAAGACTGTACACATATCCCTTTGGGATATGTTGATGGGTCAGTTCATTTTGAAAGCATAAAAACAATTTATGTAGGTAGAAGAATGTGTATATGCATAATGCAAAATTTTATTTGTATAAAAAAAGAATTATTCTGTCTTAACCAGTTCTAGAATATAAAAGCACAGCCAGATACTGCTTGTTTTAACTAACCCTTGCTAATTGAAAAAAATGTAATCTTATAAAATACTCCCTGAAAACAACTGTTTCATATGTAAACATTTTTACTTGATGCTTTTTAAAAAGTTTCACAACAAATTTTAACTACTCAAACAAATGACTAAAAAAAGTAAATGAAAGATTATAAATACAATGGCATTTATCACACTGTGAATGCTTTTTATTTTTTTAAGTAAAAAACAAATCACATTTGCCTCTCAATAGTATTTTAAGCTCAAGCAGGGAAATGACCATTGATGATAAACACATTTTCAGTTTTTAATTTTATAAAGATTTTAATTAAGCTTCACAGTCATTAAGTAGCTTTTACACATAGGCTTCATGATCCTTTGACTTCATGCCTTTTAAATAGTCATTTATCTTCAAAACACGACAAATTCAAAATCCATTATTATTTTTATTCAAATTATGTTTTCCAAAAGAGAGGGTTCTGTGTTAGTCGTCTTTGAAAGTTTTCATACCTAAAAAAGAAAAAGCATATTTATATTAAAAGAAAATGGAAAAACAGGGTATTTCATAATATGGCAAATGACTTCTTAAAAAAAAACCCCAAAATAAATGCTATTTATAAAAGAAAAAAGCAAAAATGATAATGTATGAATTCAATCATCCTTAGGAAATGGTATAATGAAGTATAAAGCAGTTTTGATTCATTTATAATGGCACGTACAAATCATGTGTTGTGAGCTGCCACTCATAGTGATCTTCTGGTTAACAGTCCCCCATCCACAAACCATAATAAATGTTTATCATCTAACAAAGTAAGGACATAAGAGGAGAAAATAAATCTAATTCTTACTCCTTCATTTTTTAGATGAACAGCTTAATTTGCTCAAGATCAAAATCTTTATTCCAGTATCCTCCATGCTACACCATAAGGCCACATCTCAGCAAACTCTCCTTATGTATTTCTCACCACTGGGATTTTCAAAATGAAAAGAAATGTCTAATAAAATACTAATATAAGAAAACTGAGGAAAAACTTATTAGTCATTCATCTAACAAGGTAAAGTATAAATTATCCAGATACCCGATGCATATATACTTGAGATCAAGACTTTCTACACTTAAAAACAAAAGTTTTAATTGGTATTTCAAGCTCATATATAGTACTTTTTTTAAAATATAGTACTTCTAATACAAAGGATTCAAGAATGAATGATTACTAATAGGGGCCCATAAAGCATTACAATTACATTTTCCTGTCTTTACAAATTCAAAATGGTTACTTTAGCACAGACTCCGATTATTCTGAGTAAGAACTCTTTACTGCTCTGAATTCTATAGGATGTACCTTAATGGCATTAAAATGTTAATTTGTGCTTGTATATGCAATAAAGAATATGGTTAGCTATTAAAAAAGAAATGCATAGAGACATAAGTATATTCTACTTATAATACAAAATACTTCATACCATTTGAGAACTACATTTGCTGGAATGAACATTTCAGATGGGCTAGGTGTCATCTGAGCCTGAGAGACAGCAAATGATGAAGCAAAATTGTAGAAGTTGTCCAACATCTTTTGTGTGAACTGAAAAATTAATAGTAGATTAAAACATTTTCTTAAAATACTCCACTTAGACCGTAATTTAAATTAAAAATGCTCCAACATGAGAACTGAGGCTCAAATGGAAACTTGTACTCCAATGTTCACAGCACCATATTCACCATCGAAACATCCCAGATGTCTAACTACAAATGGACTGAGAAGTTGTGGTACAGTCACACAAAGGAATACTATGCAGCATGCAGGAGCAATGATTTTGTATATTACTACCTAACTTGGGAGGGACTGGAGAGCATTATGCTGAGTGAACTAACTCAGTCCCATAAGGATAAATCCTGTACAAAACCGCTATTGTAGAATGAGTATGAGGCTCCAAGGGAAGGGATGGTGGAAGCAGAGGGGTAAGGATGGGGGTGGTTAATCACAGGGTTATACAATTTGATGGTTTAGGGTATGGTGAAGGAAATGAGAAAGATCCAATGTGAAAACCAGTATATTCAAACTTTGTAAATAAAGCAGTATAATATTTTTTTTTAAAGTATAGAATATGATTTAAGAAAACAGTGATATGTGCACTTTATTACCTGAGTAAATGAATCAACTGAGGATACAGCAGCATTTCCTACAGGAGTCTGCTGAGCTAGACTGTCCAATAATTCCACTGAAATTCCAATCTGGGCAACAGATGGAGTCCGGACAATATTCATGGCTCCAAAAGGGTGTTGGCTTCCTTCCCCTGAAAGAAATGACATAAACCTATTTTTCAAATTTAACTCAAATTCCTAGGAAAATATGTGAAGAACCAATAGCCTCTACTAAAAAGTTATGTACAACTATGTCTCGTTTTAAATAAATGCAAAAGGTTACTTAACTAGCAAATTAAAAATTAGAAAATGAAAATTTCTTCATAAGAAAAAACAGCTATTATCTCTGAAAATTATTAAAATTAATGAACCTAGAAATAGCAACAGAATGAGGAAAAAAATAAACAAATTAGAATTGGTAAAATATTCTCAAAATTAACTTTAAGAGGAAGTCAGTTTTAAAAATTTTTAAGTTTTAATGACAAGTCCATTAAAAACAAAGTAGGAAGGACAAAGAGGAGTAAACTCTTCCTGTGTCATTTATACCTCAGAAACCCAACCAAAAATTTCCAGTCAGAGAGGCTAATTTAATCACCCACATAAGACACAAATAAAACAAAACACAAAAGTTTCCTGGAAAAAGAAATTAATACTTTTTAGACTGTTTTTACATGACAATAAAATTGTGAGGGGGAAAAAATCTAAAATGTAATATTCTTGAAAATTATAACACCCATTACAAAAGGCATAACTTTTCTAAAATTTTCATGCATATGAGTAAAAATTGATAAATGTATTTTTCTGTGCTTCAAAAATACAGACAAATATACCTTTCATTAACAAGAATTAGCTTAAATGTTTTTGGTTTGAGTTTTCTTTTGGTATTTTTTAATTATTTGTTTTACTAATTTTCTATGTATTTGTGAATTGTTTAAATTATTCTGGCTATACCTAGTCCAACACGTTGTTATCTGAACAGAACAAGGGAACATTATGTGGTTTCAAATTAAGAAGGGTGTGCATCAGGGGTATACTTTTTCAATCTATATGTTGAGCAAGTAATTCATGAAGCTAGAATCTATGAAGAAGAATGTGCCATCAGGATTAGAGAAAGACTCATCAACAACTTGTGCTATGTAGATGATAAAACCTTGCTTGCTGAAAATGAGGGGGACCTGGATCACCTGTTGTGGAAGATCTGCCACAGGTGTAGCTTAAGCAAGAAAGGCATCATATATTCTCTAGCTTTCTCCTCAATGGTGTCAGAAGCTCTTGTCTAGATGGCTAGAGATGTTCAATTTATTGGAGATTAACCAATCCCCTTGTAGTTTGTTGAGAACTGCTAATCCCCTTGTAGCCAACCCTTTTATGTATAGGCTAATACACTTCATTCGCATATTCCCACCCATCTACACAGCAAAGTCAAATAATGGCCAGAAAAGTCATATTGAAAGGTAAATTCCAGAAAACGTTTTAGTTCCTTCTTTAGTTTTGATAGATTAGCTGGATATAGAACTCTTTGGTGACAAGGAGTTTTTTAAATTTTTTTCCTTCAACAATTTAAATGTCATTCCACTGACTTATGGTCTCCAGATTTTAATAAGAAATTACTTGTTAATCTTATTGAAAATCCTCTGTGATGTGTTTCTTCTGATAATTTCAAAATGTCTTTCTTGGCTTTTGACACATTGATTGTGTCTAAGTGTGAATCTCTTTTAATTTGTTCTACTTGGAGTCTGTTACACTTTTCAATGTATAAATTAATGCTTTACATAAAATTGAGGATGTTTTAGGACATTACTTGTTCAAATAGTCTTTTTGCCCTGTTCTTTTCTCTCCATTTAGTGAGGGAAAAGTATACATATACTTATACAAAAGTATACATATACATGCTTACTGGTAGCAAAGTTCTTTTATTTATTCCTATTTTAAGTATTTAAGTTGCTTTAAAGTGTTTCTTATTTGGAGGCCAGTATCTCTACAAGGTTAGAAATAAATTCTGTTAATTTCTTTTGTGAATTTGATTCTGTGCACATATCATATTTTTGCTGAAAAATTATTTCTGACTTTCTCAATATGACAGACAACTCTACAGGCCAGTTTTTTTCTTCCTCTTCATAGTTTTATTGTAGATGCTTAGGAGACAACTAATTCTGCATCCTTTGTCATGTGCGGGGTAGTCAATGACCATTATGCTTGTCCAACAACTATTAAGCTCTCATAATGTAATCTGTAGGAAGTCATAATGTAGTCTGTAGGAAGACTTAACCTAAAGGTGAACAGTATGAATCTACCAAAAGCTGCAGAAAAGATGGGCAATTTAATTCCACATTATTAACAGTCTCCAAAAACCCACTGGAAAGTCAGCTATAAAATTTTGCTCGTATTATTACCTTCACCATCATTATTAGAGCCTAGATTGCCATCTACATTTTTTTATTTATTTATTGACTCCTCTAATAATTGTGAAACTTCTTACTGTGTATACTTTTTATACTTTGCCATTATGAACAAAAATTTTAAAATTCCAATAATCAGCCTGCTCAATAAAAGCTCAGAGCAGACTATGAAGATTCTGTTTCCAGTCTCTTTATATACTTTCTGAATGATGTGATATATACTTCAGGCAGGAAATAAGAAAAGTGATGGAAAAGACTTCACAATTGCCTTAACCTCCAGGCTAAAGGCTGGCAAAGGGAAACTGACCCACAACCTGTTTTTGTACAACCTAGAAGCCAAGAACAGTTTTTAAAGATTTAAAAGATTGGTTTAAAAAAGGACTAAAATGTCAGAGACTACATGTGATCTGCAAAGCCTATATTATTTATTACCTAGTCCTTTACAAAGTTTGCCAATGTTTGCTCTACACAATTCCTTCTATTTTCTTATTATTTCAGTCATTGTTTTAAAAAGCACAGTTGCGTTTAGTATGCTCTCTACCTAAATTATGAATAAATAATTCCTGGAATAACAAAATAGCAAGTTATTTCTAAAATATTTTCTTTTCTACAGATACAGGAAAGTAAGATCAATAATACACTCAAATACACCTTAAGTACTTGATCTATGAAGAAGAATGAGGCATCAAAATGGAAGGAAGAGTCATCAATAACTTGCATTATGCAGATGACACAATCTTGCTTGTTCTAAGTGAAGAGGTCTTGAAGCACTTGTTGCAGAAGATCAAAGACTACAGCCTTCAATAGGGATTACATTATCAATGTCAAGAAACAAAAAAATTCTTACCACTGGACTGATAGACAACATCATGATAGAGAAAAGACTGAAACAGTCAACAACTTCAACTTACCCGAATCCACAATCTACACCCTTCATACCAGCAGTTAGGAAATCAGGAGACACTCACTAGCAAAGTCTGCAGTTAAGGATGTCTCCAAATTGTTGAGGAGCAATGTTGTCAGTTTGAGGACCAAGGTGTTTCTGATTCAGGTCATGGTCTTTCCAGTCACTTGCTATGCATATGAGTGCTAAGCAATAAATAAGAATGACAGAGCACCACAACAAGATAAAGGTAAATAACCCAAATGAAAAATGGGCACAAGAAATGAACAGACACTTCATCAAAGATGACATTCAGATAGCAAACAAACACATGAAGAAATGTTCAAAGTCCCTTGCTCTAAGAGAGATGCATATCAAAACAACTATGAGATATCATCTCACCCCAGTAAGAATAGCAAAATTTAACAGAGCAATAAATATCAAATGCTAGTGAGATTATGGGGAAACTGGAACCCTTATTCACAGTTAGTGGGAGTGTAAAATGGTGCAACCACTATGGAAAGTTGTATGGCACTTTCTCAAAAAAGTTGCAAATAGATATATCATTTGACCCAGCAATTCTTCTACTGGGAATATACCCTAAAGAAACCAGAACCAGATTTGTTTACAATATCAAAGAGCTGGAAACAACCCAAGTGCCCATAAACAAACAAATGGATAGAGAATCCTATCTGATGTAAAAAAAAAAAAAAAAAAAAAACAAATGGATAGAGAAGCTCTAGTACACTCACACATTGGAATATTATGCTGCATTGAAAAACAAAGAACTCATGAAATATTATACAAAATGGATGACCCTGGAGGGCATTAGGCTGAAATATTTCAGTCACAAAAGGACAAATACTACTGTTGTAAAACGGCACTGACATCGGAGTTGGGGGAGACTGAGAAAGTGGGGATAAATAATGCATATTGCACTGAAATAGATGAGGGAGAGAACTGTTTAAAAGTGATATATGATTAGGTATTATCATGACAAGAGTCCAAAATGAAGGCTGCATAGTGGAGTGGGCTGGGGGTGGAGGGTGGGGACTGTGTAACAATGAAAGAATTTTTCTTTTACTTTTCAAAGACAAGAGCAAACTGGGGGGGGGGGGCAAGGCAGGCAGGGAGAGAAATGCAACAAGAAATCAATAGAAATCCAAAGTCTCTGTAAATGTTCATTAAAATTAATAATTTTTTTTAAAAAATGACAGAGAAGAATTGATGCCTTTGAGCTGTGGTGTTGGAGAGGACTACTGAACATCCATCTCAAAGACTGCCAAAAGAACAGACAAATACATCTTGGAGAAAGCACAGCCAGAGTGCTCTTTGGAGGCAAAGATGATAAAGCTTCACCTCACATACTTTGGGCATGTTGCTAGGAGGAGATATTCCTTGGAGAGGGACATCATGCTTTGAAAGGTGGAGAGTCAGTGAAGGAAAGGAAGATCCTTAATCAGGTGGATTGACACTGTGTGTGAAGATGGTAAAGGACAGGACAGGGTTCAGATTTGTTGTTCACAGGGTCATGGCACCTAACAACAACAATGAACTACGAGTGAATACAGTAATTTTAAGATTAGTTTTTAGTTAGTAAATGTACATAAGTAAATGTTCTGTTCTTTGAAAAACCTCTACAAGAGAGTATAACTTGTAAAATATTATCTTAATAGTTACACTTGGTCACAAAAGATTGAAAATCTAAAAGTGAGTTTAATGATCCTTGTATTACAAACACACAAGGCAACAAATAGATGAAGGCTAAAGAAAGTCACAATGTCAAAGCTAAGTAATTCACTATGAAACAGTGGATTATGTCTGCATAAAAGCTTTATAGTATTGAATATAAAAATATAGACATAAAAGT